GAGGGCTTGTTCCAGGAATGGTATCATTGTTAAAAGCAGTTTGGGAACCAGCTGAGGGCGAATTTACATATCGTAAAGAAAGCTGTATCCTTAGTTTAGTCCAAATCCAACTTGACCACCAATCCTGCTTCCAAATGGCTTTATACTATTTCCAAATATTATAAACACCTTGAAGTGGGAATATAATTCCAAAAAGGTGCTATAAAAATGTTTTTAGTGAGAACCCTAACATGGAAATAAAAGAGAACTACTATGAAGGTAACAATACTTGGATATTCTTGTATTTTGCTTAAAAAAAAATGAAAAGAATCAGCTGTATAACATTTATAGTCACACATGTTCAGCCAGAAATTTTTATATATTTATGTGTAAAAACTGGGATTTGACTCAATGGAACTGAAACTTGAAGATTCCATCTTTTCCAGAATACATCATCTGGATATTTGTCATAAGTTAAACCTATCACTTAGACATTTACATTCTCTAAGAAATATTATGATTTTACCACATAGCAAACGCTAGGAGAAAAGTGGTAAAAACCAATTTCATAAGAGAAAACCATGAGTTAATGTCTTCTTGGTGGTCTTAAATTTTTTAACTTAATAGGCATAACTAATTATAAATTTTCATTCTGGTTAGCATTCTTATTTATGGTGACTCCTAGCTATTTATCAAAGAAATTTTATCCCATATTTTATATATATCAGTGGCATCTGACCCACCCCCAAGGAATAAAGAAAAAAAAAAAATACATGGCTACAAGGTAATTTTTCTCACGAAAAACCTCTGAATCACCACCAGGAGGTGGCACACGGTTTCCCCAATCCCACATATGCGTCTCTCTTAAGGCTCACACATTTGACTCTATGAATGATCGCTTTGGTTTTGCTGAAGGGAGGTGACTCCTGTGAGCTTCATTACTGACATGAGGCTGCTGTTTGGAGATACTTTCCTGATACAGATGAGAAACAGTCTTAGTGATCCTGCTATCTTGACAGTGGACTGGAATTTGGCATTTCTTTTCTTCTAGCTCCTTCACCTGTGACCCATTATGGACACTTCCACCCAGGGTAGAAACAGCACAGGTTTTGGCTTGGCTACTATATCCTCCTGCTTGTTTGAGAGAGGGCTTCTCAGAGTTCAAGGATTGCAAACCGGCTGCAGAGGACGTGTTCAGCAGTAGCCCCTCCGGCACCTGACAGTGCCAGGTACGGTTTGGAGGATTGTTCTGCTGCTGGAACCTTGCAGTCTTATCCATGATGCCCATGAACGGAGTACTGCGTGGTCTGTGCTCGGCTGTCCCACTTTGACCCTGGCTAACAACCTTGTCTTTAATGCGAGCATCCTGTCCTTGGACTTTGAAGCCATCTGAGAAACTGCTGCTTGAAGTCAAACTACTGGTTGAACTTGACATCTTTATGCTGCCAGACGGAGAACCGGAAGAGCCTGAGCTGGTGAGGGAAGCCGGGTGTCGCCCGTCACCGCAGCTCACCGGCCCGCCCTGGTTGAGAGGGGCTACATCCACGGCTACGGAGGCGTGAGACAGAAGCCTCTCTGCAGTCTTTACCTTGCTCGGTAAGGGGTAGGCAGCACCACCCTCGCTGTGCTGCAGCTGGACAGCGTGGCTGGGGCCCAGCCTCTCTCCAAAATGGCCAGACCCGGAGCCCACAGTCAAAGTGCCCGTGCCCTCCAAACGCTGGGTTCTGCCACCACCAGGAGCTGCAGGGATCCCACCTGGCATAGGGCTCGGGGGAGGATTCTGAGCAGCGACCTGCATTTTTGTGCTACCGTTTCTCACGCCGGCCTGTCCAGCACCCAGATGTTGGTTGGTCTTCACAATCTGTGCCTGCCGGGTGGGCTGCAGGACCAGCCCGGGCGGAGCTACAGCTTCCCTCGGGGCCTTACCGATGACTGGCCTGTGCTGCGGGGACACCGGCCTGACTTTGGACTGTAACCCTTCTTGAAGGTTTCGGATATACGGAGAGGGGACACAGGAGGATGGCTGAGACCTGGGCGGTGGGGAAATAGACTCTTCCTGGGAGGAAGTTTCTTCTTCCCCAGCCTCCTCAAGATGGAAGTGGTCGTTTAACCCAGGGGTCGGAGCGTCCTCCTCGTTGTCGGAGTCATTGGGTGGGGCTGGCGCTGGGCACTGCTGTTTCTGCTGCTGGCTCCTCTGGAGCTGCTTGCATTCCTCCTCGACACGGGCCACCAGCCTCCTGATTTCCTGATTGGTGGGACAGAGCTTCACAGCTTCCCGGAGGTCAGCCAGAGCTGCGGCAAACTGCCTATACGTGAAAGCAGAGGATACGGTTAGGAGCCACGCGAGAGCATGCTCCCAATGTAACTGTTCATAAAACAGTTCTGCTGAAAAGAAAGAGAAGGGGAGGGGGGCGCCTGGCTGGCTCATCTGGTGAAGTACTCAACTCTTGATCTTGGGGTTATGAGTTTGAGCCACACATTGGGTGTAGAGACTACTTAACAATAAAATCTTAAAAAAAAAAAAAAGGCAGCTGAGTGAGTTTGGCACACCTACTGTGGTGGACAGGAGCTATTCTACACGAGCTTAGAGCTACTCCACTAGGTGGGAGTGAACGCTGACCCACACCTGCACCATGCCAGGGCCCATACATCTCTAACCACCACTGGCCCAGGAGCAGGAACAGACATAAACCAGTGGGTGTTAGAATCCTCTTAGTTTTCTTCACCATTGCCTCTCACCGTGTCCATCTCTAACCCAAAAGCCTTATAGGACTCTCTTCCCTTCCCCACCTCCCCTGCTCTAATGTCTCTAGCTGGCAGGTTCCCTGTGAGCACAGACTAATAGGGATTCTGTGTTGCAGCAAGTGTGCAGGGAAGGAACAGTTACTGGGATGTTAGGAGAAAACAAAAGTCTAGCCATCACTGATAATATCCACTGCTGTGCCCCTTGGAAGCTACCAATTTAGTATCAAAAGGGAGGAGAGTCATTAGAGCAATGCTGGTGAATCAGAAACTCCCAAAGTCAACAGCAGCTCTGATACCAAAGAGACACAAGAAGGCTTCCTTAGTCATAGATCAGACCCCAGACAATACCTGCTATTTCTCTTCGCTCTTGCCCTGGCATAAAAGGCTTCA